TGAAGTCTACTGTTTGTGCTAATTTTTCCCTGAAGATCTGGAATGTGAAATTCAAGATATAAACAGTGGAAGTGGTCAGATTCTGTTGCCAAATGTGACCCAACAAATGGATGAATACTGTTTTTATCATGTATACTCATTTAGCAAGAAGCACCATTTTTAAATGCAGTGTTGATTTTTTTTTTAGAAAAAGAGATTACTGGAGTCTATAATCCATTTTACCAGACTCGTGTGCTGGTGTTGTGTAGTTTTTTTTTTCTGACCAGTTTCATATATTGTGTGCCGTGCTAAGATCAGCAAGGTTGCTAAGAGCTATCAGATGACATCTACTCTCATGACAGTAGTTAGAAGCTATTGTAGCCAATGTTTGAACAACCTTGCAGGGTGAGTCACAAAGAGCATGTCTAAAGGAACCATTTAGAAAGCAGCATGTGATGCTGTGATTAGCTATTAACTCATGACAACAGTGCTGTGCTCAACACCTGGTTTAACTAGTTAAGTGCTTGATTAGGAGCACTCCATTTTGTTAATTTGGATTCTTGTTTCACAATCACTTGTGCAAATTGCAATTTTTGGATGTACCATAGAAAATAGTTTTTTAAAAATCATTGAATTATGAAGTGATTTTCTTTTTTTCAAATCACATTTTGGTGGTTAGGTGAATTTTCCATAACCAAGCCAGTAAGTTATCACCACCTTTCCCATTTCTTCAGCTTTGCTAAGTGGGCTTTTGAGGTAATACAAAACATGTGCCAGAGATTGTCATGGAGATGATTGCAGGTTTTAGAACAATTTAAAAATTGGATGTTTTATTGCAATGATGATTTTCCAGTTTATGAAACAGTGAAATTGGTCAATGCTTGCAGATGCATTGTGGCCACAATGTAAAATTTTGCTGGATATGTTTGTAAATTAAGTCATTTTTCACATTCTTAAGTGTGTAACTCATTCTGAAGTACAGCATTTAGATACTTCTATCTAATGGTCACCCTTCACATTCGAGCTCATGCAATGTGCTACCAAGTTCTTTTGAGTTGGGAGTACTAGTTCTAAGTTTCTACCCAACAACCAAAAACTTTGACGAACACTTACTGGATGGTGATCAGAAACAACTCCACTGCTTTTCCTTCTTCCCACTCCATTCCTATACTGCAGTTAACCCACTGGCTTTGAGGTGTATCAATACAGCTGCAATAAACTAGTTAGGGATTGACTGATTTCAAACTACATTGATCTATCTGGCTTACATCCACCAGTAGGTCTTGCACTTGCCAACTGAAGATTTCCATTATCCATTCACCATTCAGAAGTAAAACAATGATTTTGAAAAGTTCAATATCGCTAAAAGAATATTAGAAGTTGAAACTTGTGTCTGAGTGCAAGACACATTTTATACAGCATAAGAGGATGCTAATTGGGCCACCATTGGCATGGAGATGTAGCAATCTGAAATGTTCAAGATGTTTAAAAGGCTTATCAAACAAAACCTGACATCGCTTCATATGGTTCAATGAGGACAGATGACCAAAAGCTGGATCAAAGCAATAAATTTTAAGGAGAGTTTGATGAAAACGTTAAAGTGTAAAATTGGATTTGGGACCAAGGCAACAAAAGACATGGTCACCAGTGATGGGGCAATTAAATCAGATGCTCAAGGCCAACATTTAGAGTGCAGATAGCTGAAGCTTACAGGGCTAGAGGAAATTACAAAAGATAGCAGAGAGCTAGGACATGGAATGATTTGAAAGCAAGAAAGAGAACTTTAGCTTCTGGTTAAGTAATGTCTCGTTTTTAAATGAGGCATAATGAGGATTTGGGGAGTATAGTTGTGGGATCTTGAGAATCTGAGCTTAGTTTGTTCCTTACCCTCATGCTTGTGCTTTGGTACAGTAGTCAGCACAATTTTTAAAAGTTGCAGTGAAAATCTTGGTTGATTTTTCTTAAAATCGCTGTATAGAAGGGGGATGGGTAGCTAATTGCAGAACTTTTTTTAAAACTGGGTTAAGATGAATTCGGCACAGATCAACAATTTTTGATGTCATGAGACTAAGTTTTCTGTCACTGTGTAGTGGATCACGGCCTCTTAGCGTAATTTTTATGGTATTTCTTTTGTCTGTTTTTAAGTTTGTGAATAATTGTGATTAGACAGGTGTTTGGAGCATTTCTAGTTTTTTTTTTGGTGTCCTAAGCAGAGGGCAATAAACTAAATTTTTAGTGTTTAATTTTATAAGAATGAAGACGGTTCCAAGTTGTCAGCTGAACAGCCAAAGAAAGCCAAATAATAAATTTGGCTATGTTTAGTTTATTTGTCTACCCCTTGCTTAACTTTATTTTTGTTTCAGTTCTTAAATTATTCTGTGGTTATGTGAAATGATTTGTGTATTGTAAGCACCACTTTAATTAGGTTGTTTGCATATGGTTTGAATTGGAAGTTGAATATTTTCTCAACTTGATAATTTACTCCTGGTGCATATATCAGGCTGCAGGAAACAACTCGTGATCAAAGCTGAAAGTTCCCGTAGGCAGTTTTGGAATTTCTTATTGCACAAATAATTTGGGACTCATCCTCAAATTTTCTCTTTCAATTTCTGAGGAGCTTTAACTGTAGCTTACAACATGCTGTGAAGACTGATGGGATAGATTGTATTCAACCTCCATTCATATGGAGATGTTGTTTTAATGTAATAATGTGTCCCATATGCTTCGTAGCATCACTAAAGTTATACAATAGAGGGGCAGCACTTCAAGCCTTGGGGGCTAGACAGTTGTCTGAAATTGACTGTCACCATGGTTGATTAAAAGAAAGGATAAGTTTCCAAGAAGGTTGGTAAGAAAGCAGTGAGGAGGCAGCCAGTGAAGAGCAGCAACATGAGAAAGTCCAGAAAGAAAGTTACTCCGTCTACATGAACAAATTTGAAGCACATTCACGCCAACACTGGCATTTCCTCCAAGGCCCAAGACCATCATGAACTCATTCATCAACATTTTTTCCGAGCATGTTGTAGGGGAGACTTCCCTCCTGGCCCATTACAACGCAACAGCATCAGTTCCTGGAAGATTCAGACCACTGTTCCTGCTGCTCCCTGGAGCTGGCCAAACACGCCATGCCAGAGAGAACAAAGATGGCAACTTAGTACACCCACTCCAAGTGAAACACTATTGTACTTTTTTAAAAAAAAGAAAATTGAAAATCCATCAGAGACTAAACTGGATGAGCACAGAGTATTTTGGACGGTTGCAGGAATGGACGAAGTTAGATGCAAGAAGAGATGAAACAATGGATGGCTCTGAGGGGTTTTGAAATTGGGGAGTTGTTGAGAGAACTATCCAGGAAGCCATTGGAATGTCAAATCTGAAGTTAACTAATACATTGAGGATTCCAGCAACACATGAGTTGGGGCACAGACAGAAGATATTCTGGATTTGGGATTGGAACCTCGGTCAAGCCATTGTCTTTGAAGTGTGGCGCAGTATGATGGGTTTGTGTTGAGTGCAATTTGCATTATAATAAAAATGAAAGTAATTTTATTTGTTTCTGCCAAGCTGCAATGTAAAAATATGCTCAGTGGAATTTTGGAAGGACAGCAAGATGTGCAAACCTGAAGTTTAGGTAATCCAAAATAAGTTCCTTCAAATTTCTTAGGAAAAGAATTAAAGAAATTTCAGTGCTTTTTAAATCCAATCAATTCTAAAAATAAATCCTTATCACTCATTTTTTGTCTCCATCACTGAGTGAGTGACTGCTTGACTGATGGCTAGGTCATCCAAGTCCAGCATGAAATCCTGTCTGAAACAAATAATGCCCTTGTTTTGACGCATGCCACTTTGCTGATTTACCAAGTAATATGGGATATGTGGCAAATCTTCAAACTACAATCTTTCATCCTGTAGGCAGACATCTGGAATGGATGTTTTGTAACTTCTACACTTTACACCTTTTCCTACCAGTACTCGGCTAATCTGTTTCTTTAGCTAAGATGCAATTCTTATGAGATACTATCAATACTCAATATTCTGAGTATTGTACATCAATGCAATCCCTAAGTCAAGATTATAAATTTGGACTTCCACAGTTTTTTGCTTGATTTTAAATTTTCCAATTATCTCTGAAAATATTCACCTTCCTTATTATAAATGTAAAGAAAATTGCATTGTTCAAGTTTTATGGACCCTGCTGGAAGGTATGCGCAAGATTGATTAAACTTGATATCATCTATACCCTGCAGTTTGTCTTAACCCATAAAATATTGACCAATTTATATACTGCATACCAAAGCCACATCCTCTTGGTCATATTTTGTTTATAATGCCCCTGTGAAGCATGTTGTATTGTTTTATACTGGAAAATAGTTAAGGCACAATAACTAATCTCAGTTTTCATTCTTGTTACTAACTAACCTACCCCGCTGGACACTGGGTGAGACAATGAGCCTTTCATTTGGAGTGCTTTCCAGGACACTTTTAGCTTTGAATGTGAAAGGTCCAGGTGACCATGGAAACCTACCATTGTAAGACTGCTTTGAGATATTTGAAAGGGATAAAAAATCAGTTGTGACATCTGAGCATAAGTAAAAGCTGTGCTGAGGGTCTAGGGAGTCAGCCAGTTAATTGAATGTGCTGCATTCTAGTGACACTGGTTAAGAAATAAAATTCAGGCTGTATTTTTGAGTAATGGTGATGTGCAGTAACTTTTGGCAACGATCAGCAGCCTAAGAATAGAATGTAAACATGTGTGCAGTGGTTGAAGTCTCTACTGTCAGAGCTTTATACTTTTGATATCTTAGCCGTAGAGACTGTATTATATTACCATAGTTATCCACTGGGAGTACCAGACCAGACGATGCAAAGTGGTGTGCTATGCCTATCGGCTAGACTAATAGCAAGAGCTTTGCAGAGGAAGTCATCTGACAGTCTTGTGCTTTGGGATGGTTGAAAGCTAAAGTAATAACTGCAGAACACTCCAGGACATGTTTCTTGTGGTTAACTATAGGTGTGGGAAGATGAAGCACAGCCACTTCAGGTAAAGTGCCGGAGAAGGCTTGATGAGACACATTTGCCCAGTGAAATAAATATCCTACTAAATTTGGACATTTGTGTGCAAAATAGTTAGTTATTAGTTGAAGAGTTCATAGCTTTCTTTTTGTCTCCTGAATCTTGCTTTGTTTTTTACCTGAACTGATTGTTGCAATTGATGTATGTTCGTTCACTAGTTTGGCTTATATTTTTGATCTTGTTTCTAATGCTGCTGTGATTATTGTGATTCTATAACTTTAATAGGATGAATTTAAAGAATTAGTTTAAAAGCCTGCTTACCATTTGGGTAGCACATCGACATTTGGTTTGGTGTTATTGGTTAATCCCTCAATTCTGCATGATATTTGTAGCATTATATTAGTAGAAGCTGTTAGCGAAGCTTTGTGGTAATAGCACAGATTTTAGTTGGTGCACACGTTTTAGGTATTGGTCCACTTTGTAAGAAAAAGATTATCTTATTGTGTTGCTTCTGGGCTGTTGATTTGTCAGTCGGATTACTAGTGCTGTTCCCTCAACTTTAATTTTGAGAGTGGTAAGCAATCCAAGAATACGAAAAATAAAGTTGATTATATTTTTTCAGTTGAGTTTAAATTTATTTCCACATTTGTGGTCTCTTTCACTATTTGGTTTATAGCAACATAAACAGAGACCGGTGCAGGCAGAGGAGAGTATTGTTAATAGTTTGAGAATAACTTTTTAATTTCAAGTTTACATTTAGTACAGTGATATTTAATATGCTATAATTTTAAATTTTTATCTATTATTTGTGAGGGCACCGCAAAACATAATGGCCACCAAAATAATTTTAAAATGGACACCGTGAAATGCCTGTCCAACTATAGCAGGAAGTACCACACTTAAGAGATAGTAAGAACTGCCGATGCTTAAGTCGGAGATAACACCATGTGGAGCTGAAGGAGCACAGCAGGTCAGGCAGCATAAGGAGCAGGAAAGCTGACGTTTCAGGTCGGGACCGTTCAGAAAAGGGTCCCAACCCGAAATGTCAGCCTTCCTGCTCCTCTGATGCTGCCTGACCTGCTGTGTTCTTCCAGCTCCACACTGTCTTATCTAGTACCACACCTGAGGTGCCTTTTGGCCTTCAAGGAGTAAGATAATTAGTTATTGGCAGTTTATACACCTATTCTCTGGCCTACACATGTTGGGCCATACAGGTAAGTTGTAGGAAGAAAAGAGAAAACCACAGATGCAATGTTAATTTTGGAGCTTGAAGACATATTAGTTATTTTAGTTGTTCTTACCTCTGCATTCTGATCATTACTGCTTTAGTGTAGTAATGAAGTGTATGTTCCATCGTTTTGACCATAACTGGTCTATGGATGAATTATTATGTCTTTGTTTCTGTCTGCAAAGTACAAGGCCTATATGAATACATGTAACTTGCAATACATGTATAGAACCATACCAAGAGTCTGACGGACAATCCTAAGTAGCTGTCAGAATGATTCTTTGCACCCCAGGTTATCCAGCATATGTTGTCCAGTTGCGGAATCATATCACCTGTTGGACACAATCATGGTTGGCAAGCAGTGGGCTGTTTGGGTATGGTTGCTCCCTTGCTTGTTGTGAACAGTGAAAATGATGTGCTATTTGATATATTCCAAAGACTGCCAAATCATATGGCCCACATATCTGGCATCATGCCAGCTCTGATATTCAGGTCCCATGTTCATTTGTGAGTCAGCAAGTTTGTAGTGGATGTGAGTTGCCAGCCTATGTCCAGAAATCTTTTACCCACCCTCTCAACCTGTCATGCCGTGGGCTGCTTTCAGCACACCCACCCGTTTTCACCTTTTCTCATTGTTCATCATGATCAGCTTTTCTCCTTTCCCGGTTTAGTATCAACCAGCCCCCTTTTTTTATCTAACTTTCACCATCATCAGTCTGGACTGTGCCTCCAGCAACCAGTCCCTCAGCCCCCACCCTGTCCCATGTCATCACCCCCACCGTTCCCTCCTGTGCCCCATCTCTTCGCGGATACCATCAGACCTGCTGAGTTTCTCCAGTAATTTGTTTTTGTTTGGGATGATATTCATTCCCAGGTGCAGTTATCCAGGCACTGGCTTGACCAGCCTGCCTGATTTAAAATTCCAATACAGCGTGGCAGTTAGCTGTCATCATTAATTGGTCACTTTTATAATCTGTACCACCCAATAGCACATCAGAATTTTCTGTGGGTAATTTCAAACTTCTCTCATCCCTTTTGTCTCCTCAGACCCCTCCCCTTAGCTTAACTGATGTAGATCCATAGTAAGCTAACTGTTTAAATTCTCATTTGTACCTTTTACAGCTGGACACCTGTGGAGTTTGAAGTGGACCAGATTCGACTGATTGTATACCAAGATTGTGAAAGGAGAGGTAGACATGTTCTGTTTGATTCTAAAGCAGTGCGTAAAGTTGAAGGTGCTTCAGTGCAGGTAACTGCTGCAAATTTAAAATTTCTCAGCTTTTATGAAAATGAAATTGAGCATCTCTTTTTGTCAATTAAAGTATTTTTGAGTAGGAAATGCCCAGAGAATTGTACATTGGACATGTCATTTAATCTTAAGTCTACATCATTTCTGTGGTTCTCACAGTTGTGCTTACTGATAAAAAGCAACCCCAGTTATAAGGGGGTTGCTTGTTGTCCCAGCTTTTTATTAAAACATTTTGCATTTAGTGCAAGCAGCAAAGGACTTTTATCATTGCAATTTGTCACCCATAAAACTTATTCCCATAAGGCAAGTAACCTTCCTCCTCTCCACTTTAATCCTCCAGTCATTTGAATTCCAACATAAACTTTGGATTATGCATGAATTTCCTACCTGGGCAATCATGTTCATTAATGACTAATTGCTGGTGACGATACAGTAAAAAAAAAAAAGTCTGTAATTAGTATGTATCTGTGCCTACAGCATTGAAATATTCAGCAAAACTTCGTTCCGAGGAAGGTCACTGGACCCGAAACGTTAACTCTGTTTTCTCCTTCACAGATGCTGCCAGACCTGCTGAGCTTTTCCAGCAATCTTGTTTTTGTTCCACCTGCCTGCTCCTGACCCATATTCCTCCAAATCTTTCCTCTTCATATACTTATCCAAATGTCTTTTAAATGCTGTAATTGTACCAACATACACCACTTCCTGAGGAAGTTCATTCCACACGCGAACCCCCTCTGTTTAAAAAAAAAAAAAATTACCTCCTGTCTTTTTTTTTAATGCTCCCTCCTCTCACCTTAAAAATGTGCCCCCTAGTCTTGAAATCCCCTATCCTGGGGAAAAGGCAACTACTGTTAACTCTATCTATACCTCTCATTATTTTATAAACTTCTATCAGGTTGCCTCTGGACTGCCTATGCTCCAGTTTTTGAAAAAAACATTCCCAGCCTATCCGGCATTTCTTTTATGCCTCTGAACCTTCTATACCTGGCAACATCCTAGTAAATATTTTCTTAGCACTCTCCAGCTTGGTAATATCCTTCCTATAACTGGGTAACCAGAATTAGACACTGTATCCCAGAAAAGGAGGAAGTTTCACTGACTATTCCAATCATTAGTTACAAATGCCAAGAGAATCTTTTGACATTAATTTTAAAATCTTGAAATTGTATTAAAACAAATTATTCACCATATCCATATCTGAAATAGCCTGCTTCAATTTTAAATCTTGTGTTTATGGGATTAGAACATTCCCATCAAAAACCCTTTCTTGTACAGGTGAGGTGTTGGGTCCTCACTGTATAGCCTTGGCATATAGCTTACAGCATACCCATTTAATACCATGGATAATCTCCCTCCTTTCCACTCTAATTCAACTTGGCAAAATTATAACACTTTTTTTTAATGGGGTAGTATGTGGACAACTTGCTTTTATAACTAACCTAGACTTGGTTATAAAGTGTATACTTTCAAAGTGTTCGTTTTGATTTTAAAATTTTCAAATGTTGTAAATAGCAAGGAAAATGGTAGTAAATTTGAGGTGGGCATAGAGAAATTGGTGAAATGGAGTGACCCGTGGCAGATAAAGCTTAATGCAGAGTATGCAACATGATACATTTCAAAAAGAACAAGGAAAAGCAATAAAAATGAAATATTATAATTTTAAAGCAAATCCTAGTATTGAGACACCTGGGAATTCATGTTCACAAATAGTTGAAAATGGCAGGATAGTTCAATGTGGTTCTGGGCTACATAAAGAAGGGAATACAGAATCAATTATGTTTTTTTAAACATTCATCAAAACCACTGCCTCTTTTTTACCTGGTTTGGCTCACATGTGACTCCAGACCCACGGCAAATTAGTTGACTCTTAACTGTGTTCTGAAAATGCCCAAACACGCTACTGAGTTCAGGGCGTTTAGGGATGGGCAACAAATGATGGCCTTTCTAGTAACCCCCAATTCCCGTGAAAGTAAAAACAAAAATTATATAAACTTCAAGTATTGTGTGTCCAGCTCTTTAGATATTATTTTAGGAAAAGTGTCACCAAATCTTGGGAAAGATGCAGTTTTACTGGAATGGCAGCATGTATGAGTGGTGTCAGTTACGAGCAAGTAACAAGTATATGGATTACCTTTCACCCCCTTATCAAAAATCAATCTACCTCTGGCTTAGAGCTTTGAAGATTTGCTTCCACCATCACCTTCAGAAAGTGTTCGAGATTCACAGCCCCCTGTCTTAAATGGGCAATATCTTTACTTTTAAACAGTTATCCTAGTTCTAGGTTTTCCCACATCCACCTTGTCAAGACCCCTCAGGAGCTTTGTTTCAATCAAATTGCCTCTTACTCCACTATGCTCCAGATACAAACCTAGCCTGTCCAATTTCTCACATGAGAATCTGCCCATTCTGGGTATTAGTATAAAACCTTTTCTGAACTGCTTACAATAAGTCTACATCCATAAATAAGGAGCCTATATACTGTATGTACTGAGGTCTCACCAATGACCTGTAAACTAAAGTACAAGCTCCCTACTTCTATATTGTATTTCTCTTGCATTCTGTTGGTTTTCAAATTATTTACTATACCAGCCTTTTGCAATTCATGCATTCTGGCATCAAGATTTCTCTGCATTTTGCAGCTCTAATCTCTCTCTATTTAGGTATGCTTTTCTGTCTTCCTGCCAAAAATGATCAATTTCACATTGTCCCACAACATTCCATTTGCTATATCTTTGCCAACCCATTTACCCATCTATAAACCCTTTCTGGCATTCCCTTTCACAACTTGCTTTGTTATCTATCTTTGTATCAAATTTAGCAGCCATATCTTCAGTTGCTTTATCCAAGTCATTTATACAAATTGTAAAAATTTGAGGTACCAACATTGATTTCTGTGACAGACTATTCATACTAACCTTCCAATCAGAAAATGACACATCTAAACCTACTGTCTCCTATAAGCTAGCTAATCTTCTATTGATGCCAACACTTTATCCATGCAACAGGAGCGCTTATTTTCCATAGCAACCTTTTGCTGTTTCAAATGTCTTCTGGACATAAAATTACAGTACATCCGCTAGCTTACCTTTATCCACAGCATATAACTCCAATGAGCTGGCTAAACATGATTTTCCTTCCACAGAATGTTGTCCCTGTCTTGATTATGTGACAAGACTATAAAAACCAGGATTGTTGAGAGCAGAGATATTTAAGGCTGGGTTAATAAAGATGTGAAGGGTTTTATAGAGTAAACTGGAGAAACATTTGTTAGGAGATGTGATCATAACCCTCTCACACCAAGTTGACATTTAATGTCATGACTTAGAATCATAGAATCCCTACAGTGTGGAAACAGGCCCTTCGGCCCAACAAGTCCACACCAAACCTCCAGAGCATCCCACCCAGACCCATCCCCCTATAACCTACCTAATCTACACCTCCCTGAACACTATGGGTAATTTGGCATGGCCAATCCACCTAACCTGCACATCTTTGGACTGTGGGAGGAAACCGGAGCACCCGGAGGAAACCACGCAGACACGGAGAATGTGCAAACTCCACACAGACAGTCACCCGAGGCTGGAATCAAACCCGGGTCCCTGGCGCTGTGAGGCAGCAGTGCTAACCACTGTGCCACCGTGCTGACTTAGTTGGGTTGGGTGCACTGGAAATCGAGCTTCGCTGTCCGAGTTGTCACAAATGAAAATGAGGTGAAATTGGACAATGCATGGTTTAATCAAACTGTCTAATTCTAGTTTAAAGAATAAACATTATTTCTTGTTTAATGTGAAATTAAATATACAACTTTTAACCAATAGCAAGATTGAAACAAATTGCTAATTTATGACTCAAATGCTGAACCAACACAGACAAGACAAGGCAAGCCAAATGTTATGGGTGGGGAAGGAAAAGAAGTCAGAAGCACAGTTCTGACACCAGTCAGGATCACATTAATGAGTTGTTTGCTTTCGACTCCTTCAGATTCTTTGCTAATGACATGAGGTTGTGGAAACACTGATTTAGTGTTCCATTCACTTTTATGGGAAAATGCTAAGTAACAACAACTACCAGGAGAAATTGTTACTTCTCCACACAGGGAAAAGAGGAGATTTAGGTGCTTTCTCTTTGTGGGCAAGATGCTTCTGTTTATTAACAACATTCCGGCTATAGTTATGTTCTGAGGAACCAGTAAAGTGGTTGTTACTATGCTGAGCCCTCCTGAACCCACAACTGATCCTGTTGGGAAATGTAACAAACAGACTGGGCAAAACTACCCTGAACACACCTAGGTGATTTTTCATCACTGTTTGAATAAGGCAAAGTTGTAGATACTAATAATATATCCAGAATTACTCGTATAAAACTGCAAACATCATCTTCTGTAGTTTCCTTAGTTTAGAGGTATCTTTTCCCAGTTTGTAGTCCACAGTCCAGCAGTGAAGAGAATTTTTAAAAACTGCATTCTTTACACTTAAAAAGCTGCTGATCCTTAGGTGCTCCAATTTTTTTTAATTGACCTTCTCTGAGCAGGCTCATCAATGAAATGCGAAGATTTGCGTGGGCATGTAGGTATTAACTTAATGTTGTATTCCTTCGGTCCAGGATGGAGAAAGTGTTATTGCCATTATCGTATAATAATAAACAGGGAATTAGCATGTTGATTTCTTTCAAGTTTTTTGAATTTAGTTGCAGTGCTGTGCAGATTGTCAACCACAACAGCAGATTTGGCGCTTTTGAGATGAAAACTCTTACTGTTACATATTTTATAACTTAAGATTCCTATTTCAAACTATTTGTTTACACCTTTGGTGAATATACCCAATTTCCAGTTCTAAAGTTGATCTGCAGAAGTTTGAATTTTTCAAAAACTTTTCATCAGCCAAGTGTCACAGCTTTCTGTGTGAGCAAGTGGATTTTTTTGAACAGTGAAGAAATTGAACCATAAGCTAGTTCCACAAACTGTGCTTTTTTTTTTTTTGGGCATTTAAAGTCTAAAATACAGTGATTTTTTTTTTGAGTTTTGACCTGGAAAAGGTAGATTTTAGAAGAGAAACAAATTCTTCACAACTTAGATGATGGAAAGTGCTTTAAATATCTTTTTCTGTCAAAAGTTGCTATGCAGCAAACAGTCCTGATTCATGTTGCTTTCCACTTTAAAAGTTCCCATTATTACATTCTGTGAATATGACTCAAGTAGTTGCAATTAAGCAGGTTTGAGAGGATGTAAATTCTAGTAGTTATGTCCAGTTGTAGTCTTGTTATCAATGATGATAAGAATCAGTATTTTTCTTGTCACTGGAAACTAGACAGCAAATATTGTCATTGTCACATGTTGAAGTCAAAATTAAATGAAAGTGTACCATGATGGGCCTACTGTGATCATCTAAGAAAACTACGTTCTCGGAAAACCTGAGTGTTCAGTTTCTTTGTCTCTGAATATAAATATTTGACTAACTGAAGAAATGTGAGCATTTAGCAGGAAAATTGTCGAACAACCGCGCGCGCGCACATACGCGCACGTACACGCACACACGCACAAATGTGACTTGATTGACTTTGGCCCTTTTGCACCATGGCATTATTCTGGAACACCTGTGTTATATCTACTTTAAAACAAATATAGCTTTCAAGATATGATGCCCAAAATTGAATATAGTAGTGTTAACGGGTTCTTAAAGAACCGCAGTTCTGTACAAATGAAACATAACTTCCTACTATTGCGTTCCAAATCCATGACATAAAGACTGACGTTCAGTTACCTTTTTTGATTTCTGTTTGTACCTCTGCAGTAAAAGTGCTGTGTATTGATTTTGATGTACAAAAACTTTGTTTTAGCTGGTGCCTTATGTACCAGCACACTCAATTAAACTGGCAAAAATTATATCCCTTAAATTCCAAAAGTTTACTAATATCAATCTCCGCAATGTCCAGTAGTCAGTTGAGTGTGGGAGTGATAAGGCTGTATGGTAAGTATCCTTTTTAAGGCAAAGTTGCATTATTATTCGTGATTTGTGCTGCTCATTAAGTGTAACAGTTTATATACAACCCTGCATCACACTTATTACTTAGTGTGTTTTTATACATTGCTTATGTAGGCCTCTTGTTCAAAATATTTGATCAACCGGCATACTCCTAGTTCCATAAGTAATGGTTTGCTGTATTTTGGAAAACATCATGGGCTTTCAGAAGACGTGATATAAATATCATATGTGGAAACCACCATATCTGCCTTTTCAGTGACCTTCTCACAAACTTGGTCCTTCATTATTAAAAAGGAAAATAAATGGGAGATTCTCCATACTCGCGTCTCCACCATATGTATGTGTTGTCCACATTCAGGAGTTCTCCTCCTGTGTATCTTTGAATTGGGCAGAATGGTGGCTCTGTGGTTGGCACTGCTATCTCTCGCGCCAGGGATCATAGTGGAAACAGGTCCTTCGGCCCAACACGTCCATACCATCCCTTAGAGCATCCCACCCAGACCCATCCTCCTGTAACCCACCTAATCCACACGTCTCTGAACACTGCGGGCAATTTAGCATGGCCAATCCACTTAGCCTGCACATCTTTGGACTGCGGGAGGAAACTGGAGCACCCAGAGGAAACCCACGCAGACACGGGGAGGATGTGCAAACTCCACACATACAGTCGCCCGAGGGTGGAATCGAACCCGGGTCCCTGGTGCTGTGAGGCAGCAGTGCTAACCACTGTGCCACCATGCCACCCAGGGATCTGGGTTTGATCCCAGCTTTAGGCAATTCTGTCTGTGTGGAGTTTACACATTCTCCCTGTGTCTGTGTGGGTTTCCTCCAGGTGCTGTGGTTTCCTCTCGCAGTCCAAAGATGTGCAGGTTAGGTGGATTAGCCATGGGAAATGCAATGGGATAGGGTAGAGGGGTTGGTCTGGGTGGGATGCTCTTCAGAGTGTTGGTGTAGACTGATGGGCTGAATGGCCTGTTTGTGCACTGTATGAGTTCTATGAAAACTTGGAATGGGGTAAACTTAACAACGTGTTCTGAGGAAGGGTCACTGGACTGAAACATTAAGTCTGATATCTCTCTACAGATGCTCCAGACCTGCTGTGCTTTTGTTGTGTATAAACTTAACAGCACACTAAGATACTTGGTTTAGTTAAATTTGTTTGTTCTGTTACAGTAAACATTTATAAATCATTAGCTAAACCTTGGCTGGAGTACTTGTTCATTTCTGGTGACTCAACTCTGTCAAGATCTTTGGGCGGTGCAGCAGAGATTGCTGGAATAAAATGTAAGCATGAGGGATTTTAGTTCTGCATTGAGGCAGAAGGCAGCTCCCCACCACCACCACCACCACCAAGGCAACTAGGCCTGGGCATTAAATACTGGCTTTGCCAATGATGCTGACTTCCTATTCATGAATAAAAAGCCTTTTAAACATTTGTTTAAAGTGGGAGGTGGGGAACTATGGTGTTGAAAGGAAGAGAGGACATGATCAGGATAAAGATAAGTGATAAGCACCATATCCTAAGTGAGAACTGAAATAGTTTGAAGAAAACCATGTGCCCACCATTGAAATATTTTGTGAAACTTCACATTTTAGGGATTTTAATACATGTTTCCTATTAACATGAAATATGTAGTTGTGATTGATCAGAGTCTGCAGAATTTCAACAGTAAGGGTTAAATCTATACCTAGCCTACAAAATATATCTTTACTTTCATCTATGTCATTTCCCTCTGTGCACCCAAAGATTGTTCTGATACAAGATTCAGTATATTTGACAGTCACTGATTATAAGCCAACATGACATGCGTGACTATTCCTGAAATTGAAATGCTGTTTTTGCTCTGTTTTCTAGAAAGGTTCAGATGATGTGTCCACATTGCAAGGGAAGTGCCACCACACAGGTAGCAGTAGTACCTGCACCCAAAATCTCTCCTCTTCCATTGCTGTTAAAGAGCAACTGCCTAGATATCAGGTACGTTGACGAACCTCCATGGCAAGTGTTGCTATTGTAGACAGCTTATGAGATGGAGTAGAAATTCAAAACTGGAAATTGCATTATTAGATGGTGGTGTGACTTACTAGAGTAGAGAGTAAACACAAAAGCTGTCACTAGAAAAATTGCTAGGGAAACCAATGGGACTATAGACCAATAAGACCCCTAGATCTGATGGGATTCATTGTAAGATGTTAGAAGAAGTGGCTGCAGAGTAATAGAAAAAAAAAAAAAAAAAAAAAAGAAAATTCCTAGATTCCGGAAACGTTCGAGAGTTTTGGAAAATGCTAATGTAACATCATTTTTATCTAAAAAGGGAACTTGACAAAGAACAGGTAGTCCAATTAGCTTAACATCCATTGTTAGGGAAATGTTAGTGCCTATTATAAAGGATGTAATAACACAGCATTTTGAAATGAATAACATTATCAAGCAGAGTCAGTATGGCTTCATGAGGGGAATCATCCTTGCCAAATTTACCAGAATTCTTTCAGGAGGTGACAAATAGGATAGATAAATGGAAAGCATTGGATTTAATTTTTGAATTTTCAGAAGGTGTTTGGTAAGTTACTGGATGTTAGCCCACTTAAGATAACTGAGTTGGAGGTAGTATAGTTGCACGAATAGAGAATTTGATAACTAATATAAAAACATTTGGGGTAAGGGGACTGGGTGGATGCATTTTTTTCTTTTCAGGATTGCAACATCTAACTCACGGAGTGCCACAGGGATCAGTGCTGAGGACACAATAATGCTGAATCAATATCCTTGAATTCCAAAGAAATAGTCATTGACTTTGTTGACATTATACTCACTAGGCCTGAAGGCCACAGAGCTTAGTATAACTGGGGATGCCCAATTAACACAGCCTTACTGGCAGCACCTGACATCCTAGGAAGCCTACTTTAAAAGTTGTGAATGCTCAAATATTTACTTGAAATGTTACTTTCTGTGATGGAAGTACAAGAACAGCAATTTTTTTCAATTCTGTTAAAGATTTGAAAGTAAATGGTCCAAATTTCTTTCATTAAATACTTGTCTTAAAATTGAACTTTGTGGTTCTAATTTCCTGTTTAGTAACTACTCAGTAAACAACCATTCCTGACTTGGTTAAATCAAATGTCAGATAAATGAGAGGCTCTTCATACCCTGTTTAGGCTCTGTCTGAGTGATTGAGCTAGAAGTCTGTGTTGCATTTGTTAATGTGATTAAGGTACAATCTCACCTGTGTATTCTCTTTATTTGCAGTATTCGCGTCCTGTTTCTGATGTCAACATGCTTGGAGAAATGATGTTTGGCTCTGTTGCAATGAGTTACAAAGGCTCTACTTTGAAAATACATCATATACGGTAAGAAACACAGCTGAAAGGCATTTTAATTATGCTATGCTACATTTACAATAAGTAGTCAGTTTAAATTTTAGTTCCGATATTAAAAAATGGTAACTTCACATGAGTTTGAGTTTTTGTTTCGAGTATGCTGCTTATTATAGACTGAGGCATTCATTCTTTCTCGCAAAATTAACTGGTGGTCACATTCTAGATTACTTTTGCTTTTGGAGACTTCTGTTTAATAGAAAATATCTTATTTCAAAAAGTTGTTGAAAGTGGTGCACTATATTATGATATTTTAATTTGTTGAATACCAGAGACTGGCAAGTTCATCTTTTCTACCAGTGAACTTTTGATGATTTGACTGTGTACATAGGAGATTCTTTGGTAGAATGCTAATTATGGTGATGTCAAGTTTTAATGGGCAACATCATTGCTGAAAATTGTATTCATATTTTGTTTAAATTTCTGGTGGTCTATAAAATAATAGAATATTATGGTGACTGAAGTATTGTGTTTTTTCTCTTTAGCTCCCCCCCTCAATTAATGATCAGTAAAGTATTCTCCGCGAGAATGGGCAGTGTTGGAAGCTCAAATATGTAAGGTTCTTACTCTTTGTAGCTCTACCTTGTACGAAGAATGTTGGGTTTTTGTCTTTCAAAAAATTAATTTTATTGTACAGAATTTTCTGATTTTTGAAATATCTTTGAGTATTGCAAACTTCCATACATACCAGAACACTGAACATCTCAATGTCTATCACTAAATCTAAATGTCTGAACTTTGCAAAGATCTTTGAATAAAGTTTTAACATGGTGTATATATGCCTGGAGTTACTCCTATCCAAATACATTGATATTTACATACGTCAAAAAGATTGATACCCTGTCTTTCTATGAATCCAAATGAGTGCAATCCATTTCACTTATTGAAAGTCATTTTATACCCACATGAATCTTTACCATCCACGTTCTGCTGATGTCTTTGATCTCACTGATTTTAAAAATTGAACTGTTAACCAAAATTCCTGTGGCTTATGATTGATCTCTACACAGACCCCTACAATTAATTCCATCTGTGGGAATGCACCAATCCGATATCTACTCAAATGTCACAGGCATCCACCACCTTTAACATTGTGTTGAAAATCAAGTTGCACAGTATCAACTTTGGGGCGGCACAGTGGCTCAGTGGTTAGCACTGCTGCCTCACAGCACCAGAGACCTGGGTTCGATTCCACCCTCTGGTGACTGCCTGTGTGGAGTTTGCACGTTCGCCCCGTGTCTGCGTGGGTTTGCTCCGGTTTCCTCCCACAGTCCAAAGATGTGCAAGTTAGGTGGATTGGGCATGCTAAATTGCATGCAGTGTTCAGGGATATGTAGATTAGAGGGATGAGTCTGGGTGGGATGCTCTCAGGGTTGGTGTGGACTTGTTGGGCCGAAGGGGCTGTTTTACACTGTAGGGATTCAATGATGATCTATGGTGAACTTGGCTTCAGTAATTCAGTACTATTGTGAAATGAGTTGGTGAAATTAGACCATCTTTTCCAGAAGCCATGTAAAGGCTTCTTCATTACATACATCTCTATCATGGTTGTCTTGTGGTTTTGAGGATTATCAGATCAACCATGATCTCATTGAATGGCGGAGCAGATTTGATGGCCCGAGTATCTGCTTATCCTACATTTTGTGGTCTTAGTGAGCATCTCGAATGATCTGTCCATAACCAGTGCAAAAGTAATGTGCTAATAAAACCATATGATAAAGGAGCAGAATTAGGCCATTCAGCCCAATGAGTCTGCACTGCCATTTGATCATGGCTGGTATGTTTTTTAACCCCGTTCTCCTGCCTGTAGTCTTTTGCTCCCCTTACTAATCTAGAACCTATACGTTTTAAATACACCTAATGACTTGGCCTCCCCAACATTCTGTAACAGAGTTTCACAGATTAAACACTCTCTGGCTGAGGAAATTTCTTCATCTCAGTTCTCTGAGGCTGTGCCTTGGGTCCTAATCTCTCCTCCTAGTGGAAGTGTTCTCCACGTTTGCTCTATTCAGGCCTCTTAGTATTCTGTAAGTTTCAATGAAATCCCCCTCCATTCTTCTAAACTCTATTGTGTACACTTCTAGAGTCCTCAATAATTCCTCATATGACAAGTCCTTCACCCCCAGGATCATTCTTGTAAACCTCTGGGCCCTCGTCAGGGGCAGCACGTCCTTCCTTAGATACAGGGCCTAAAACTGCTCACAATATTCCAAAAGCAGTTTGACCAGAATCTTGTACATCTCAGCATACATCCCTGCTCTTGTATTCTAGCCCTCTTGAAATGAATGCTGACATTGCATTTGCCTTCCTAATTGCCAACCCATCCTGCATGTTAACCTTAAGTGAATCCTGAACTGGGACTCCCAAGTCCCTTTTGTGCTTCAAATTTCCGAAGCCTTTGCCTATTTAGAAAATAGCATTTGCCTGTACTGTTCCTACCAAAGTGCATAACCTCACTCTGTCCCACATTGTATTCTGTCTGCCACTTCTTTGCCCACTGTCCTAGCCTGTCCAACTTAAGCTTCCCCAACATTACTTGTCCATCCACTGATCGTTGTATTGTCTGTAAATTTACCAATAATGTCCTCAGTTTCTTCATCCAGATAGTTGATGTATAACATTAATAGTTGTGGTACCAACACTGACCCTTATGGAATTACACTAGTCACTGCATTCCTATTTACTTACTTATTAATTTGTTTTATTTAAATTTCCGACTGGTCTCTGTTTAATCTGTAAATACTTCTCCCATTTTCCTTCAGTCTGAAAGTGATCTGTAATTAAATTAGCAGCTGTTACCAACCAATGAACTTACAATTTCCTTGTGATTTCACATTCTGTCTCTTGTGCTGGTCCCCTAATCTTGGACTTCAATTTATTCAGTTTAATAAATCCTTAAACAATGAGTCAAACAGCAAACAAAAAGCACCTCTTCCCGTCTGCATCAAATTCCCATGCTACCTCCAAGGTCCTGGAGCTATATACTTACTTTGGCTGTCTCCCTCAAGATGTAATCTCTCCTTCTTCTTCCTGATTATGCAATGTGCTTTAACAGGCCCTCTTGTTTTATTTAACCTATCTTTCTAATCAGCTTGTTCAGAGATGTAACTACACACTTCTGGAGCAGGTGGGGCTTGGACTCAGCCATCCCAATTCAGAAGTAGGAAGACTACCACTGCGCCACAAGGACTGTAACAGTTCTCTTCGCTACCACCTTTCCCGCTCCCCCCCCAACCCAAAAAAGAGCTGAGATGACCAATGCTTAGTAAACTTCAGTAGTAATCTACACCTGTTTGAGGCCCTATTGAGGCTTTGTGATTGACTGATAATTGTCCTTAAGTCTGTTGAGCTAGCAACCTTATTAACATTTTAACTAGACAAGAGTTAAAACTTTTAAAATCAAGAAAGAAATGATTTACCAGTTCTATTCCCACGCTGCCTTCAAAGATCCCAAACTGTATGTGTTTGGGGACTATTAACTCTTTTCTGTCCACAGATGCTGCCAAACCTGCTGAGTTTTTCCAGCAACTTCTGTTCTTATTTCTAATTTCCAGCATCCACAGTTTATATTCCCTTTCTAATCGAGTCATGCATAGTTTTCCAATAATGAAAGGTACCTTTTTAAAAATGGCGTATAAAACTGCCATTCAAGCTTCTTCAAAAAATCTGCAACTTGATGAGTTTAACCCTCTTAAAATCTGGTCTATATTTACATTTTTGGATTGCAATTAAAAGACAACACATTTTGTCACAACTTTCCATCTTGCACTCATCAGAACAATTGATAAAAAAAATTCACAAGAACAAGAAAGGCTATAAGCCAACATTTGAGAGGAGAATGCTGATAGATTAGTAACAGGACTTTGTTAGAGTTCTTGTCATAAAGATTGCAGTTACTGTAACTGAAAATTATTTGATAACTACCAGATTAATTTAGATTTCACACCAGTAAGTTGACTCTTCATTGAGTTCTGATGAAGAGTTACTGGACTCAACTTCTGCTTTCTCCCAGAGATGCTACCAGACCTGCTGAGTTTTGTCAGCAATTTGTTTTTGTTTCATAGAACATAGAACATTACAGCGCAGTACAGGCCCTTCGGCCCTCGATGTTGCGCCGACCTGTGAAACCAATCTGAAGCCCATCTAACCTAAACTATTCCATTATCATCCATATGTTTATCCAATGACCATTTAAATGCCCTTAAAGTGGGCGAGTCTACTATTTTTGCAGGCAGGGCATTCCACGCCCTTACTACTCTCTGAGTAAAGAACCTACCTCTGACATCTGTCCTATATCTATCACCCCTCAATTTAAAGCTATGTCCCCTCGTGCTAGCCATCACCATCCGAGGAAAAAGGCTCCCACTGTCCACCCTATCTAATCCTCTGATCATCTTGTATGTCTCTATCAAGTCACCTCTTAACCTTCTTCTCTCTAACGAAAACAGCCTCAAAACCCTCAGCCTTTCCTCATAAGACCTTCCCTCCATACCAGGCAACATCCTGGTAAATCTCCTCTGCACCCTTTCCAATGCTTCCACATCCTTCCTATAATGCGGTGACCAGAACTATACGCAATACTCCAAGTGCGGCCGCACCAGAGTTTTGTACAGCTGCAACATGACCTCATGGCTCCGAAACTCAATCCCTCTACCAATAAAACCTAACATACTGTACGCCTTCTTAACAACGCTATCAACCTGGGTGGCAACTTTCAGTGATCTATGCACATGGACACCGAGATCTTTCTGCTCATCCACACTACCAAGAATCTTACCATTAGCCCAGTACTCTGTATTCCTGTTACTCCTTCCAAAGTGAATCACCTCACACTTTTCCGCATTAAACTCCATTTGCCACCTCTCAGCCCAGCTCTGCAGCTTATCTATGTCCCTCTGTAACCTGCAACATCCTTCCGCACTATCCACAACTCCACCGACTTTGGTGTCATCCGCAAATTTACTAACCCATCCTTCTACGCCCTCATCCAGGCCATTTATAAAAATGACAAACAGCAGTGGCCCCAAAACAGATCCTTGCGGTACACCACTAGTAACTGAACTCCAGGATGAACATTTCCCATCAACCACCACCCTCTGTCTTCTTACAGCTAGCCAATTTCTGATCCAAACCGCTAAATCACCCTCAATCCCATGCCTCCGTATTTTCTGCAATAGCCTACCGTGGGGAACCTTATCAAACGCTTTACTGAAATCAAAATACACCACATCAACCGCTTTACCCTCATCCACCTGTTTGGTCACCTTCTCGAAGAACTCAATAAGATTTGTAAGGCACGACCTACCCTTCACAAAACCGTGTGGACTATCCCTAATCAAATTATTCCTTTCTAGATGATTATAAATCCTATCTCTTATAATCCTTTCCAACACTTTACCCACAACCGAAGTAAGGCTCACTGGTCTATAATTACCAGGGTTGTCTCTACTCCCCTTCTTGAACAAGGGGACAACATTTGCTAGTCTCCAGTCTTCTGGCACTATTCCTGAAGACAATGACGACATAAAGATCAAAGCCAAAGGCTCTGCAATCTCCTCTCTAGCTTCCCAGAGAATCCTAGGATAAATCCCATCCGGCCCAGGGGACTTATCTATTTTCACACCTTCCAGAATTGCTAACACCTCCTCCAGCATCCGTAGTAACTTTTTTTTTATTTGACTCTTGATGAGTCAGGGCATTGCTCTGAGAAATGAACCAATGTATTTGTTGAATTGAAAGATGTGCAACATGCACATATTCTGCCTGCAAAGAACAAATTCCCATGTATTAATTTATATAGCCAACGTTTACAAAACTTGCGGTAGAAGTCAGCAATGCAATGTCGGATGTGATTCTACAATTGGATAACATTTGCTGGATAAACCCAATTATGCAAGGAATTGCACTGCCAATGCATTTAAATTAACAACATTTAGGATTGTCAGTCAGGTGGAAGCTATGCATATTAATACATAGACCTTGTTCTTTGCAGATAGGGCATGTGCACATGATGCAGCTGTTTGAACTCAACTAAATAGGTAACGGTCATTTGCTATTTCATTTCTCAGGGCAGTGTCCATTGGAGTTAAGTTCCCTGGTCTGACATCTAACGCCTGGCTGTTAATAGTTGATATTGTTAACTGCAGTATTCGTCATGGCAATGTCTCTGCCAATCTGTCCACTTACCAACCAGTCACCACCACCCCCCCACCCCTGTCATAGATAATAAATGTCGGTTTGACCCCTTTATTAATTGAGTGCAAGACAAACAGCTTTGATAAAACGCTTTCTTTTTGCAATTCTTTGAGTTCTGTGCTGAATGACTATTTAAATTTTCAATAGTGTTCATTTAGTTAATATAAATTCAATCTTGTATAATGTTGCTGCAACAGTGTTTCCTAATGTGGAAGCCTGAGAACAGATCAGGATCATTACTGAGAAACACAAATCCAGTATTTACTTATTAGCTTCTCATTAACGTGCAAGTGAACAATTGTGAATAATATTTACGCATCCTCTACTCTTCCCCACAAAGCTAGAATGCATCACTATCAAATAATTGAATGTCTGGATGTAAAAATTTGCTGATTACCACAGATATTTCTCAATTTAATTGCAAGGAATTTGCTCAGGTTACTTCACTGAACTGTTTGAGTAATTTGCTATGAAATAACCATGACATAATTATCTAATTTCAATATTACAGCAAGTTTAGGTATTCTCTGCAAGCTCAACTTCTGATTTGAACTGACAGTGCTTGAATGATGTGTCGAAGTTTAGTGCCTGTGCATTGTCTCTATAAATAGTGGTGAAGCTTTATTCTTTGACTGTCTCCCACCCCTGTTTTGAGAGAACTGTCTGAGTCAGGCTCCAATCCACCACTTAAGAGCTCATCATCAAACGTCCAAGTAAACCACCTTGTCGAATCTGCCAGCTGAACAAAAGCAGCTGCAGGAAGCTTTAAATAGTCATGGGGGCCCAGATTTTAAGGGCTGCAATGGCAAGCAAGTGGGGGCTTTTCTTTGGGACCATGCAGGGTGAGGATCATGGGACAAGATTGGAGATGAGGATGTTGGTGGTCTTGCATCCCATCCTTGCCCTGACTGGCCCTGGATTATGATAAATTGGATGCCATGTGCAGCAGGCAAGGCCACCCTGGTTTCCCAGTCAGGAGAAAGCTACTTTACACACCTATCTGATAGGTAATGAATCAAGTTGTTGGTGAGTTGAAAGACCTTTAAGTGCTCTTTGAGCACATAAGGGGACAAGAACAGGGTGACTTATTTCTATGGGACCATTTACCCAATTATTTGCCTTTTTTGCTACCTCCAGTGTAGGGATAGTCACGCTGTAGTGTTGAACAGTACTGTGGATAGAAGAGGTCTAAATAATTTTTCCCTTCTCTGTCTGCCTTGATTTTTGGGCCTAGTTTTTTTTTTATTATAACTCCTTTTATCACACAATGCAGTCACGGAGTAACAGTACCTGCATTTGGACTCGGAGCACATTTGAAATGTTGAACTATATCTTCAAAAATTCACTTAAACTTAAAGCCACAACACAAGGAAAGCATTAATTTTAAGACACCATGTATTTATGTTGGTGCGCGATAGTGAGCTTAAGTTAACAATGAATGAATTTTTAATAAAAAGTGACTCACCAATACACGCGTGCACATCATTATAAATGTGCTTTTCACAGACTTGGGAGGTCATAGCTAAACAGTTGCATGTTTGCTTCTAACAGATGCTGCACTCCAAAAAAAATTCACAGTATGTGAGATGCTTTGACATATAATAACACAATTGTAAATTGTTATGAAATAAAACTGCTCAGTATGAAATTATCCAATTGACTATTAATGTTCATGGAAATAACTTTTTTTGAAAGATTTAAAACTGCTTGCTTCCCTTTAGCTGCCAAACAGTTGGCAGACCTCGCACTGCATTTCCATTCTCGAGCTACTTAACTCCCATATTTAAAGTGGATACGGTCACTATAAACCTATTGGCAACAGGTGTGGGAGAAAAGCAGCCTATGGTTGGAGGACCAGCTCTTCTCTTTGGTTGTTCTAACTGTGGGCCTGCTTTTATCCAATGGTCTCCTCTGTATGTTTTGACCATTAAAAAACTGCAGAAGGCTACTTTTTAATTTATTTCAATCAGAAGTTAATTCTGTAAGTAGAAAGACTTCTTTTGCTCAATATTTCACAATAGGTCAGAGATGAATCCTGCTGTTCATCTGTTTCCATCTCTCATGTTTTAATTATGCATCTGTCATCTGTGGTATCGTGGTTACAGCTTCTGTGAATCCTTCAGATTTGTCCACAGTAGTTATTTGCTAATTTTCTTATTGCAGTTTCATGGTAATGACACTTTTTGACTAAACTTACAGAATTCTTCGGAAGCTGAATTGAGTTTTTATTCAAAAAGTCTTTAACATAAAAATTTTTAAAAATCATGACAAAAAGTCATCTTGGTGTCCTGAGACTTGTTTACCACAGATAACAGATTTCATTTTCAAGATCTTTCCAAGTCTTAAATTTTGAGAGAGGCCTTCCTAACTGTATGGGCTATGATGCAAACCAGAATCTTTTCTAGTCTAAATCGATCAATTTCACTAAATATGATTTTTTAAAATTAATATCTGAACAAATTCCAAATATTCCTTCATCTGCTTTTCTACTAACCTTTTATTTGAACCAATGGTTTTGCAGGCTGCAAGATAGTTTTGAATGCATCAACCAAGAAAACACCGTAGGAAAGCCTTGTCCTAGTCAGGATGGTATCAGTAACTCTCGTATTGCTAGTAACCTGGGTAAGAATGGATTCAAACATTTCAGTTATTCCTATTGACATTTTTGAGCTTTTGTAGTTATTGTAGTCATTGGTGTTTTTTTACTCAACTTTTACCATTAGGTCATTTGCTGGTTTGTGGCAGCAAGCTGCTACTATGTCCTACTGAACCAGGTCCACTCCAACTCATCCGGAGTGCTTCTTTCTTTGCAGGTTTGTGTGGAATGCTCAGCATAGTGTGGACCACACAAAAGCACTTGTCCCATTTTGTGATTTAATGGAGAATACAAAGGCAGAAGATTGTGAAATTTATGCTTTTTGATTTAATAAATGCCAGATGCAATTTAATTTTCCCTGTTTAATGCACAAATGGCATTGCCAAGAATATGATGCATCTGTGAGCATATTCTAAATGATTGGCAAAACAGGTAATCCTTTTTCAGTTGTTGCTGAATTCTGCCCATGTATTTCTAGGCTGTGCATTTGGAATAGTTTTAGCTTGCGGTTGATTAATTTTAGGGTGTAATTTTTAACTTTTGCCTCCAAATAAGTGCTCTGCTTCAGTTTTGCATAAAATCCAAATACCATAAGATATAGGAGCAGAATTAGGCCATTCGGCACATTGAGTCTGCTCTGCCGTTTGATCATGGCTGAGATGCTTCTCAAACCCATCCTCCTGCCTTCCCCTTGTAACCCTTGATCGCCTTACTAATCAAGAAAAGTGCATAACAATTGCTGTGTGACCAACCATTTCTACAAGCTATATAGTCTGCATGTATGACAAGCAAAGGAATGAATTCATATTTATCAGTTGCACTGCTTACGTTTGAGCATTGCTTAACGACAGTTGTAAAACACTTGATGGTTTTTATAACTAATTCTGCATGTTGAGTGCATTTTCTGTTGACTTAATAAACTGGTACTGTTGCAGTGGATTGTTGAATTCTGATTTTTATCGTAGGCAGCCATTTGGTACTTCGCAGCTATGATATAGCAAGTGCTGTCTATAGCCCAGTTTTTCTGTTTTATCCTTTTCATGTTTTCTCTTCAGCTATTAATCAAATTCCTTCTTAAGTACTCCCTATTCAAGTAGCTGTCAGTCTTGTGCACCGTATATTCTAGTAACTGATTTCCTCGTTCTTTGTGTTTGAAAGTAATTCTAATTTGCTACTCAAAAATGATCTCATTACTTAACCTTAGAACATTTCTAAGTTACAAATATTGAGGTTGGTTGGCTCGGTGAGCTGGTTTGTTCCGCAGATGTTTTGTTACCATGCTGGGTAATATCCTCAGTGCACCTCCGATGAGGCGTCGGTGTGTTTTCCCACCTAGTTTTTAAACTCCTGTCCATTGAGCTGGATTGCCACACTTTTTGGTTTTTCTTCGTAGTGGAGTGTATATGGGGTCGAGTTCTATGTGTATATTAATGGCTTTCTTCGTGAAGTGCTAGGCTTCTAGGAATTCCCATGCCTGTCTCTGTCTCTGTCCCAGGATTTTGGTGTTGTCCCAGTCAAATTGGTGGTTCTCCTTATCCATGTGGATTGAGATGAGTATTGGTCGTGTCTTTTTGTAGCCAGTTGGTGTTCATGTACCCTTGTTGTTAGTTTCCTTCCTGTTTGTCCAATGTAGTGTTTCTAACAGTCTCTGCAGGGAATCTTGTGGATGACATTGGTCCTGTCCATGGCGGGGAGTGGGTCTTTAGTTCGGATGAGCAGTTGTCATAGGGTTGATGTGGGCTTGTGTACCATTCTGATGCCCAGCGGTCGTAGAAGTCGTCTTGTGGTTAGTCCGATTGTGTTCCTGATGTACTGTATTCTCATTTAAACTTCTGTGATCTAGTGAAGTTAAGCCAAGCTTTTAAAATAGAATGTGGAATCGGACAAAGAAATGGACTTTAAACATTAACTCTGTTTCTCCCTTCAAAGATGCTGCCAGACCTACTGAATTTCTCCAGTCCTTTTTGTTTTTATTTCAGATCTTCAATATCTGCAGTGCTTCTATTCTAAAACTATATGTTGTATCCCAATGATGGCGCTTTTAGCAAGTTGTAACGATTAAAAGGCATGTCTCCTTTTTTCCATAGAGCAACTGGGTAGTGTAAAAATGCAACGTGTGATTAGCCCTCTTATTGAAGTGCTTTTGCTGTTCTTCCCTACAGCACTGTCAGATAGAGAATTCCAGGGTGTTGCCTCAGTGGTGAAGAAAATTACAATGCAAATTCATTTTCAAAGTAGTATAACTTGGATATGAGCACAGTCTTTTGGAGGTAGAGGTAACAGGGGAAGAATAGCTCAAATAATGATAGGCAAGCAATATTGCACATCAGGCGGAGAGATCAAGACTTGTGGTCCAGAATGTACCACCCTTAGCCAAGCTCTTCCAGTGTAGCTGCAAAATTGACATCTACCCGACGATTTGAAAAGTCAATGCAGTGTGGAGCAGAAAGAATACAGCAGATCAGGCAGCAAGAGAGGAGCAGGAAATTCAACATTTTGGGTTTACATCCTTCATCAGGACTGTGGAGGTGGGGGAAGGAGCTCAGAAATAATTGGGGTGGTGGGTCTGGGGGAAGGTAGGTGGGATGGTGATTGTTGGACGCAGGAAGGGGGTAGCGGAGATTAGTCTGTCGGTAGGGTAGGACGGATAGGTGGGAAAGAAGACGGGCAGATTGTGTCAGGTTAAGGAGGTGGGGATGAGAGGGAAGGTTGGACATGGGATGAGACTGGGGGTGGGAAGATTTTGAAATTGGTCAATTCCATATTAAGGCTATCGGGCTTAAGCTCCCGAGGCAGAATGAGATGTTGTTCCTCCAGTTTGCATGTGGTCTCATTGTGACACTGGAGGAGGCCCAGGATAGACATGTCACCAAAGGAGTGGTAGGGGGAAATTAAAATGGTTGGCAACCAGACGGTGGTGTTGATTTATAGTGTACAAGGTGCAGATGTTCTGCAAATTGGTCACAGAATCTGCATTTGGTCTTGCCGACGTAGAGGAGACCAAATCGGGAACAACGGATGCAGTAGACCGAGTTGGAGGATGTATAGGTGAATCCCTGTTAGATTTGGAAAGATTGTCGATGGCCTTGGATGGAGGTGAGAGGGGCAGTGTAGAGGCAGGTGTAGCACCTCCTGCGCTTGCAGGGAAAGGTGCTGGGTATGGTGCGGTTGGTGGGCAGTGTGGAGCTGATGAAGGAGTCGTGCAATGAAATTTCCCTACAAAAGGCAGATAGGGGTGGGGAGGGAAATATCTCTTTGGGGTCAGATTGCAGGTAGTAGAAGTGGCGGAGGATGATGCACTGAATGGGGAAGTTGGTGGGGTGGTATGGGAGGACCAGGGGGACTCTGTCCTTATTTTTGTTGGGGGAAAGGGGGTTTGAGGGCGGAAGTGCAGGAAATACAAGAGATGCAATTGAGGGCATTATGAATCAGAGGGTGGAAGTTGTCCTTGAAGTAGGAGGACATATGGATGTCTAGGAGTGGAACGCTCCATCTTGGGAGCAGATGCGGTGGTGGTGGAGGAATTGGGAGTAAGGGATCACATTCTTGCAGGAAATTGGGTGAAAGGAAGTATAGTCAAGGTAGCTATGGGAGTTGGTGGGTTTGAAATAGATGGTGGTTCTGAGATGGTTACTGGAGATGGAGGTGGAGATGTTCAGGAATGGGAGGGAGGTGTCGATGGTCCAGGTGAATTTGAGGTTGGGGTGCATCATCCTTTACCACTTCCGCCCATCCAGTCATCATCCTTCTATGTTGAAGGCCTCAAAGTAGAATTCACCAGTTCGAAAATCTCCCCACTCCGGCTTCATCCTGTGTACAACCCTTCCTCTCATTCCTCCCTCCTTGACCTGACAACCTGTCCATCTTCTTTCCCACCTATCGGTCCCACACTTCCCACTGACCAAAACCCACTACCCCAACCTGCATCTACCTACCTTCCCCCAGCCTCCCTCCATTATTTATTTCCACGCTCCCTTCCCCCTCCCCACTTCTGATGGAGAGTGTAAACACGTAACATCG